ACCCAAACCAGTCTGGGATTCTATAAAGACATCCCACTCCCCTCAGGAGCTGTGAGGGGCTGTGGGGCACGGGGAGATGGCGGCCTGGGGAGAGGAGGAGGCGGGAGGCACTGGGGCTGCTCTGGAAGGGGACATGTCCCTGCAGCATGGGGACAGGGCACTTCTCTGGGGAAGCTGGGCTCTGCCAGGGCAGGTGAGACAGCTCCAGCCAGGCCCTGGAGCTCCCACCAAACTCGACCCCATGGTGCCTTGGGCTCACCCTGCCCACCTGGGCACCCCAGGGCATGGTGACATCCCCTCAGAGGGAGGCCCAAGGGGGATGATGCCACATGGATGACACAAGCCACCTGGGCAAGTATTGACCTTTATTGTCCAGCAAGAAATGATGCAGAAGCCCAAGCTGGGATGGAGCCCGCGTTGTGCCAAGCACTGTGAGAGCCCAGGAAAGCCAGGCCATGGCACAGCTCTCCATCCCCCCGCAGCAGAACCCCGCTCCTGTGTGCTCCTGGGCTGAGCCTGGGCAGGTCCCGCACCGTGTCAGGCTGTCTGATGCTCCACGGGGGACATTTGAAGAGGATGTTGCTGCACCTCAGTGCAATGCAGTGCTGCTGGGCTCACTCAAGCTTGCAAGAGGGTTTTTTTTCCACTCCTCCTAAGGCTGATGTTCTCCCTGTTGAGGGCTTTGCAGCACGGTTGCAAGGAAAAAAGCAGAAAGCTTTTGTTCTGCGTGTCTAAAACCAGTTGAAGGCACGTGACAGGGAGCAGAAATATTTGCCATTGTCTTCATGGCAGGCAGATGCAATGATGAGGATGCAGGCATTGCTGGCGAGATCTTTGATAGCCGAGAAGCGGTTGGGAATCTTGGCAGACCTGTGCTTGTCTCGCTCAGAGTTGTAATAGAGCAGATAGGTCAGGGAGTGCCCCGGGCGCTGCCGGTACCAGGAGATGCCGAACTCGCTGATGTTGTACTGAGGGCTCAGGGTGCAGGACAGCCGAACGGTCTGCCCGGGCAGCGCCGACACAGAGGAGGGCTGAGTCAGCACGGGCTGAGCCCTGGCAGCTGCACACACCAAGGATGCAGTTACTGATGGGCTGAGCCATGTTCCCCATCACCCCCAGCCCCAGAATATTCCCCTTCCCCCTTGAGGGAACCACATTACTCAACCTCCATCCTGCTCATCACACCACACAGCCCTGGAG